TTTACAAACGTATTTTGTGTAGATCTCGCGACCATATCTTATCCCTCTCTTCTTGTACGACACGACAATGTCCCAAGCAAATTCCGCAACTTTTTGATCGCTTCTTGCCCTAACCATAGGATGCTGAAAAAGTTGTTCCTGCAGCCTTGAGTTTTCCTTTTGGGGGACTGATTTTGGGGAAGAACTCAGGTGCGAATAGGCTCAATATACGCTCTTTGGCAAGCAAAGCCATCCGAAACGATATATTGAGAGTGGCCTTTGAAATAACATCGCTCAACAAACAAGCAATTAAAATGGCGGCTTCCTCGCTTATCGCCGCAGAAGCTTTGGCATGTCAGAGAGAGGGAGGTCTGCTTCGGCACGGCCCGTTCTCCAACAGCTGATGCTGCATGCCTGCTTCACCAATTGGTGGACTAACAAACGGTTCCCCAAACAAAGCCCCCCCCCCTTCTAGCAAGCTCAGCATCGGCAGCGAAAACGACTGTAACTTATTCTCAACCTAATACAATCACAAATCTGTATGATTCGCGACGCGTTTAACAAACAGCTATAAACAAGGAAATGAATTTAAGACTGAAGAGAATAAAGAAAACATTGACCAGGAAGAATCTCCATGCTGTCGCTTGTTGGAACCTTGGCATGATGTCATCTTGTGTTCTCGTTGCCAAACAAGGTTGTTAGATGGAATATTTAATTGGCTTGATGTTACGGCTTTTTCCCCTTTCGAGGGATTGAGATCCCGCCGGAGCACTAACTCACGCCCTGTTAGTTTTATTAGGTTCCAAAGTGTAAGTTATTAAAGGCAGTTGGCATGATAAATCCGTGCGTATTTCTGCGACAAGAATCTAACTTCAGTATCACCAACGGCTACCGTGACCAAGACTGGCGTGCGACAAATCCATCGTACGCCCATATATCACATCGAAATTTGCCCCGAAAACACTATTCGCTAATTGCGCCCATGCTTCGCAATTTGCATCGGTGAAAATTGTTGCGTCTCATCAGTAGGGTGCGCCTGAACTATCGTCACGTTTCTTTTTGCTTAAAGGCAGTTGGCACGATAAGTCCCTAAGACAAGTAGGATTAATACGCCCGGCAGGTACGGAATTCTAGGCCGCTGAGTAGGCGCTGCGTAGTGCCTTTTTTGAGGAAGGGACCCTTATAAGGCCCTATGAAAGTGCAACATATGCAACATACAACACACATGCGACCCGGACGCCCACCGCTCCCCCAAATGTCCAACCGATGCTGATACTCGTATCGCCCCTTTGCGAAGTACAATGAAGCAAGGGATTGACATGGAGCGGCCGCAATACTGCAAGGATATGTGAGTGCATAGGTGCAGCCTTATCTACCGTAGCGGTTCGTGGCAAAGAAGCACCCTAAAGGCGTACACTCCTAAGACAGAAACGTTTTCGATTGCTGGCTTTCTCGGTTTTCAGTTTTTCCCGTTTCAAGTGCTTATCATTTTCGATCCCCTCCGCGGAAACTGGAGAGTTTTAGGAGGAACGATTCCAGAAATGCCTGATAGTTGGGAAAGTCAGTAACAAATATTCAGGATAGAATGCGGGTCGCGAAGCAGGGGATGGGCTTACCAGAGGAGGAAATTCCGATAGGGAGGATCCTGCCTTGCAGAATTTTACCCCAACGGCAGTGACGTACCCTGTCCCACCTTTTTTTATATAGAACGGAGACTCCCACAAAAAACAAAAAAGGGACATTTTCATTTTGAACGCTTTTCGGGGAAGTTTTGGTCACGCTTGAATATGTTATAGTTCCTAGTTGAAGGCTTCACATGAGATAGCAAATGATGTCTTTTAACTTTCTCTTAATGACACCTTCCGTGATTGTGGGATGGGCGGAGACACACGCTTTCTGTGCACTCCTCACTATGTGACCCTTCCGTTTTGAAGGGAAGGAGTCGACAGTGAGGAATGCACAATATTGTGAGTCTTCAGCTCATCGCTCATTCGATAATCGGAGAAGGTGCCTCAACTCCTGAAAGCTATTCATAAAGTGTCTAAGTGCTGTTCGGCTTGGGAAGGGCACTTTGAATTCCCGCTAGTCCATTTTGCTAGCCTATTTTTCACTAACAGGTTACCCCTTGTAGGTCCTTTAAACTCATGTGAAGCTTTGAGATGACTTCTCCGCTCACAACCTCGTTGAAGGAATTAACAGGTCTTAACATGGTGCCCTGAGCTAGTTCCGCTAGGTGTCAACTGCCCCCCCCCCCTCCCTGAGCCAAACGGCGCCTCTGTCTACTTTACTCCTATTTAGATCTGAATAAGCACTGAAAACCAGCGACAACTCATGATAACTTACTTTCGATTTTGACTCCCTCTATTCTATACTATTCGAACCTAGGAAGACAACTATAAAAAAAGTTGCATACCTCTGCAAATATCTCCAAGACCGAGCGGCAATCAACTCCTTAACCAGATTTTCGCTGAGAAGAGAGAGAGCGCACTCGGGTTCCACGAGAAGATCACAGAATAGTGAAGGAGAATAGTATTTCATCAAAAGATGTAGATGGTATGGACGCACTGGACAACCCGCTTCACGCAGTGCCCTTACATACTGCTCACATCCACTTTCTATTGCTCTCGATAGGAGCACACCACTCGACCATACCTAGAAAAGCAAGCTGACCTAAATCAAAATTGTATACTCACCTCCGTGAACGGCCCCTGACATGCACGAGGCGGGGTCCGCAGATGCAGTAGGTGCCACCTTCTCCGGTCAAAAGTGCACAGGAACGTGACTGTAGGGTGGTGATACCCAAGTAGGCCTCCAACTTCCGCCCGTGATATCTTTAAGGTGCAGCACTTATGTGTGTACCAAGGCTCGGCAGCGAGCACAGAAGCAGAAGTGAGAGTACGCAGATAAGTAGAGCGTCTGGCTATGGCTGAGCGTCTAATTGAACGTTGGGAAACGGCACTTGGGTAAGACTACCTTCCAGCCCCGTTCCCATGTGTTTTTGAGCGGAAAAAGTGGTATGCAATGCAGCTGAGGACCCCTTTGTCTCGTACATGGCAAGGAGCGTCTCCGGAGGTGAGGATACCTGTCTTTGAACAGGCAACATTGAATCTATTGATTCAGAAATCAACTGATGGCTCATAAAAAATAGGTGGTCCAGCATACAGGGTACAGCATCCTCGTATGAAACACATGGGGGGTCGCACTTGGCCACTGTGGAGGGTCGTATTTAGTCGCTGTTGAGAGAGGATGAGAGGAGGTGGTCGTATGTGCCTTGTTCCTTTGAGAGAAACTTGGGAACAAGTTTTTTCCCGGTTGTTGACTTTTCGCGGTTTTTCCGTTTCACACTGGTGTACGCCCAGTTGGTTCGAGATCAACTGGACGTCTATTGCCACAGAAGCAAAACCAGCAAGTAATAGAAAAAATGTTACACTAAGTAACACAAAATAGTAAAGCCAAGAAAATGAGAGTGAGACCAAAAAAGATAGAAATCGACCAGGAAAGGATTCGGACGGCGTGAAGTGAATTCGGTGGACATGTGAACCAATGCAACGTTCGGCTGGAACCTCGTAAATATTCCCCAGGCTTCGCTGGTCCCCTAGAGCCACTTAGACTCACGGCCACTTAGGCCGTATCAGGACAAGAAGGTGGGAGGGAGTAGGCGGAGAGGATTTCGGCTTTGTCCCGGTGAACAAAGCCTACTCAGGCGATAGAAATAAAAAAAAGGAGCTTTTTTCCTTCGTTGACTCACCGCTTTTTACTGGGTCCACATCCCGCTCTTTAACTCCCCTCAGGCAATACTTATACTTTGACTTGCCGCACGAACTATAGCGGTCTTGACCACCTAGCAGAACGTTCGAGGCAAGTCCCGTCAGGCAGTACTCCTAATAGGCCTAGCGTACCGCGGCTCGTTGATCGACCGCCTTCCTTCCGGGCAAATTAACTCGACCACCCTGCTCGCGGTCCATCTTGACCCCTACATGGCTTTGCGCTTCCATGACCGTTCCCCTGTGCGTCCCTCCGACTCCTTCCTTGACACTGGCTATATTCCCCACCTCACCCCCGCTCGACAGCAAATTTTTGGGTGAAAAACTGGTAGGAAGCTGGGAACTCGTGCAAAAGTCGTAGGTAGGCGTTGAAGAAGGGGGATGGTCGTACCGAGACCCTTTTTGAGTAGGTGGGGGGGGGGGGGCTCGTACTGACACCACCATTTCACACATCACGATGCTGTACCCTTCCAGCATATCAGCGCTCTTCTTGAGTCGAGAGGCCTTTTCCACCAATGATGCTATCATAAGTCCGCAGCGACTAGGGGACAAGGGCGTTCTAGCTGTGTTCCAGTTCACCCCCCCCCCTTCACATACCCAATCGTATGCATAGGTCATGGCTGTACTTGGCGGACTAAATGAAGCAGAATTACCTCAGATTGAGGCATGTGGCAATGTAGAAGAAACCGCACAAGAAGATACTGAAGTTCTTTCTCGCCGGTCTCTCTTAGAATGGTAAGCAAGTTGGTGAAATTCTGCTGAAGGCTGAAATAAAAACGGCTAAGTGAGGAAAGTAAATTCAGCTCTAATAAGAAAAACCGTTTCTGCTCTCTTAACAACCACCCCGTTCCAGCTCGAAAATAATATAAACTTTCTGAAGAAAATAAAAAATTTTGAAAATATTAAAAATAACCTCACTTGCGATTACACATCAAATTCGAAGCCACACTCGCTATGAACTGCTGAAGCGATTTCTGTGCCTTATACAGCTGGACAATCTGCTCAGCAACTCCAGACAGAGGCACTGAAATTCAGTCGGAAATAGTTAAGTGCACAGAGTAACTAGTAGTGCGAGAGTTAGGTGAAATGTACTGAAATTCAGTCGGAAATAGTTAAGGAGGACAAATCCCTTCCAATAACCCCTCCTCAAGATCTCTCAACTTCTAATCGTTTTTCCGCCTTTCTGCAGTCATTCTAGAAGTTCCTCCACTTCCTCTCTGATTGTGAGACTTGAGAGTTGACTGCCGTCACGGGGGGAGGGAGTGGTGGGGGGATGCATTAAAGGGGAAAAGCGTGAGAAGTCAACAACAGAAAACATTTTTCACACATGCTTATACAACCCCCTCGCTCCAGCGACCAGAGCAGCGGAGTACAACTCCTCGTAGGGAATTCCCAACATACGACGTGCCCTGATGAGATGCTACCGTGTACAGATTCATGCATCTATTTTCTACAATGGTAATATACGTCTACTTCCCTTTCCACTTCCCAGACGACTCCCAGAATTCGTTCCTTCCCAATTTACCAGGCCCTCGAAGCACCAGGGTGACTGCGCATGCGATCATGATCCCTGCTAACGATAGGGCGTGTGACGTTGGCGTGGCTTGGAGCGTTGCCAGACCAGATTCCCTACCAATTAGAGCGGGCTCAGGATGGCATCATTTGTGGAAAAGGTTGCTCTGGCTACGCTCCTATCCATGCCATGCCACATGC